GTAGTTTTCCTTTTAGAATTATCGATTTGTTACACATATGCTGACGTTCATCACGAAACGCTGAAAATGGCATTTCCGTCCTTGATTACTTTTGTTGTTTATTTTGAAGAAATCTCCTGTCGAAGCCCACCAAACACTTTCAGAGCTCTTGGCGACGCTGCTCCAACTGTCGATTTTGATTTCAACAGTTGAAAACCGATGATTTTGATATCAGTGGCAAAGAAAGGCTTTGAGGGTCAAACAAAGTTCGAAGACAATGAAATGCGAAACTTATTAGATGCAATTCCAGGCCAAACTCTTAAGGAACTATTGAACAGCTTAGCAATTGATTAATCAACTCTTTCTAGACGTTCACATGTGATCGGGAAAAACAAAAAGGTGCAAAATGTTTACCATTCGAATTGACTGAAAATGCGATTTCAAACCGTTTTAATACGCGGTTTCAATGCTTACCAGGCAAAAGCGGCATACTGCGACTGGCAACGAAAAGTGGACCTACTACGGAATCATGAGTTAGTCTAAGATACCCATCCACATCGACGCCGAGGCGAAATATTCATGCTTACAAAGGTTGGCTGTGCACATCGTGGGAACAGCAATGTGTGGTGTATGACGAGCTAGTAAAACCATATGAAACTGTTACTGCGTGAAACTGCTTCTCTTTCTTGGTCTGCTAGCGTTTATTTGCATTTTTTATGAGAGGCATGACAACTTTTAAGTGTGAATAGAGCAAGCAAATATAGGTGTATGGTGTTTGTAGTATAAGCGAACACGTTAAAGCGTTAAAACATCTAACTGCGTGAGTTGCTAAAGAGAAATCATAAGGTGGTAAAGAGGATCAAACTTAACAATGCCGAAAATTTCTATCAAAGTGATTTTTTTAAACAAAAGAAATAAGAAACAAATAACAAAATTATATTCAATCGTAGCCGAATTTTTTATAGCCATCATCGCAAAATAAAAGATTTGTCGCAAAGGCGTGGGGGCGTTATAGGCATGTCCTTTGAAAAGTTGGGATAATTGTCAAATTCTTTTGCAAATTTGTAGGCGATATCATGACTTTCGCTAATGGCAGAAAGTTTACCACAGATACTGCCCAGTTGTGGACAGACGAATAAGCGAACATGTTTAGATTTATTCCAAACTTGAAACTGGCCAAGAATTTATGTACTTTGTGGGACTCTTGAAACTTGCTTTTGCGCGTTATAAAGGTATTGAGAAAACAATTAGATCTTGATACACTAAAATATTGTGTGGGCATGTTCAATTTTGCCCTCTTTTTTGTACAGGTACTTCAGCGTCACGCAAGAAATACGCGTTCAAATTTTTGTATATTTAACGGGGGATTTAAAAAGTCTCTGCGGCTCACGAGATGGTGTTGATGCCTATATTTGTGCCAACGCCCCCCTAATTGCCTAAATAGCTCTTGCCAATTATATATCGCGTTGATAAACTGTTCCTCCATTTCAAATCAATTTAATTTTATTAGTTAACAATTTAATTTAATTTTCTCAATCTAATAAAATAAAATTTCTCCTTCCTTGTTGCTCCTTTTTTTTTTTGACAAAGTCAGGCTAAAATATTAACTCTATAATTATGTTGTGTCTTCGCGAATATATAACACACTTTTGCTTTTCAAAAGCCAACCGAAATTTTAGAAATTTTCCAAGGATTTGCGTTCACGTACAATGCAACGCAAGCTATATTTTCATCTACATTTAAATATGCACAATTAATTTTAACACAATGTATGTTACACTTAACGAAGCAATAACTAATCAAGTTGGAGTCTCTATCAGTTAACAAATTTAGCCGAATACACAAACCCCCGGAAAGATTGTTACATTTGTTGATTATTATTTCTACTGAACTCAAATAGAAATTAAGTTAATTTTTGGTTAAAAAAGAAACGAAGAAAAAATAGCGTAGATTAAAACAAAACCAATTAACTGAACATACTTACAAAATAGTAAACTTTGTAAAGCGCACTTTCAATAAAGCACCGTTTGTAAGTTGTGCTTACAAAAAGCTGCTTTTGTAAAAGATTCTTGTAAAAAAGCTTAAATAAATTAACGCCATCTCCTAAAGGAAATATTAACGTATTATTTCATTCGGATAAATTACTGGGCGAATTGATTCCATTAAGAAACCTAAAAACGGAAAAACGAATAACTCTAGAAAAGCGTAGCAAGTCAACAGAATACAGAATGTTTGGTGAATGTGTACAAAAAACGATGTCATCTATCAGAAAAGCCGATAAAAAATTAATGTTACGCGTAATGCGTCCCAAACACCTTACAGACCATGGTAGGTATATATTTTGATCATAATGCAAGTTAGCGATTTATAGAATATCTTTTGATCATATATCATGTTAGTAAGCTGTTTGTAGAATATATTTTGACCATAATTCATGCAAGTAGCTAGTAGGTATTGTTGAGTCGATTAAAAATATTTCTTAAAGTTTGAGAAAATACAGTTCTAGATACTGAGGAAGTTGGCATTGGCTTGACCATTGTATACCGATTTGAGCACAGCACCTTTCGAATTTTGACTTGCTTGAAATGATGATTAAAAATATGGCTATCATAATATTATAATTTATAGTTACCCGAAAATGCATTTTATACAAAAGTATTCTCGAACCTGTTTGAATCTGCGACCTAGCACTTTAGGCAACATACGTAATATGGTGGACACCACGACGTGATGGATTCATCTTTTTTATTAGAATATTATCGATATTAGTATTAAATATAAGAACTTGGAGAGTAGTATGTTAGTTATGGCCGACGAAACGACGCGATGGATTATATTTTCTTAACAATACCTTTTAGTGAAGTACAAGGCGGAAGATACATTTTATAACATTCATCAAGGACTTTTTCTATGAACGACTTCCTCACATTTTTAGAAATTTGCTACCATGGTGCAAAGATTCTAGCATTTCACATAATTTTCCTCTTTGCTAGATACTATCGAGTACAGGGAGACTCTGAGTACCAATGCTATGCGGTTTTGAAGTATAAAACCAATTAGTAGCATCTCTAAATTTCGCATTAGTCTCGTTTTCTTGAATCAATCCATGAACTTCAGTGAACAGTGAGCACTTTGTAAGCGAACTTAATTTGCTGCTAAAAATCAAATCAAATTCCATCATTAAAGCAATTGCATTAGTAATGTATATATATTTAGGCGACAACACGCAATTCTGTAAGGAACGAATATTAAATACCGAAGTAAATGAAGAAATAAATATCAATAAATGAAAGAGATTTATCTAATAATACGCTCTGCATTGAACCGGTTAAGCAGTTTGCCATTTAAATACTTTACCAGAAATTAGTTGATTTCATACGTATTTGTGTAACACAGAGTGTTTTCAGATTTATATTACTACAAGTTTTAATTACTGTTAGCGCTCAAACTATTTGCGCCTACGTTTGTAATTTATAAAAGCATGGAAATCTTTGCTTAACTGTAAAAATAGATTCAGAGGCATTTCAGACTCACGGACATAGAGGGGCAGACGGACATGCTTTATGGACTCGACATTTTACTTACTTTGTGAAGTCTCTGAAGCTTCCCTCGATGATGGGTATAAAAATATAAAAAATTTGTTCATTCAATTGATACCTAATTAGTGCTGGTCTCTGAATGGGTTTGTTGACAAGCAACTCTCAGTTGTTTCAACAAGACAATGCGTTATATCACACTCCATTGCTTCTTCAGAATTCTTTCGCCGGCTATGTTCGGCCGAGCAGACAACAACTGACCGTTGAACATATTAAAAGAAATTTAACACAGATGTTACTTAGGATAATTGATTTTTATTTTATATTTAAATGTTCAAATAATTTGATTGCTAATCTCAAATTACATTAAAATTTAAGAGAGCTTCGTTCTTCGTTATAATAGTCTTTAAAAATTGTTTTTATAACGACTTTCCTTCAAATTGATTATATAAAATGTAAATTGTGTTTATACAGCTTCGATCTTCATTTCGAAAATTAGTCTTCCGGAGAGAAGTAAGAGGAAACTTTTGTTGGTTAATTAGCAATCGATCATGTTAAAATGACTAATTTTGAAATACTTATGTAAGAGCAAAAAAATAGCGGAATAGCGGTATTGATTAAAGCTTTTAATTACAAAATAAACAAAATAGTCTCGCAATATATTGTGTTTTGCAATTATAATACAAAGATACAAACATTAGAATCCCTATAAGGTAAATGTGCTTACCACCGGTTTACAAGAGATTCTAGTGCAGTCTAAAATGCCCACTCTGGCATTGGTCGAATTTTGAAAGTCATCAAGGTCAAGAGATCGTACACAATTCGGAGATTTGGTTGTATTTCGCGAAGCAAAATTGAAAATAACTGAGAATGCCATACGAACACCTTCACAATAAGGAAAACGGTGAATAGAACTGAATGCACGAACATTTCGAAATAAGTTAGCCCCACGGAAACCGGAAATTTATCTTTTCCTTCCTTCTTGCGTTTCTGCGAATCGAAGAATCTCGGCAAAGCCTATTCGTTTCAAGTAAACAAAATTCCAGTCTTCTAAAGAACATGAAATCTATCTCTATCTATCTAGATTATTAGTAATTGTTATCATTATGATTACGATTTTTGTAACTACCACCCAGCGTGTACATATTCTTGATCAACATTAAATTCGAACATATCGGTCGGCCCGTCTGCCTCCAACCCCCGGGCCGCCCGTCCCTTTCCCTAGCGTCAGTAGTAAAAGTACTCGTCGTCAACAAAATGCAAACATTGTCAAAGGGTTGGACGTTGGTATTCAATATAAGCCAGATCGTTGCTCATAAAGTACAACTTGCGCCTTTAATAGTACACAGGGTAATATTTAACTTTTTGTTTTTTTCTCTAGTCTTTTTAAGATAAAAATGATAAACCGCATATAATTTTCTTATTTTTTTTGCTTCATGTAGACTTTTGAACTGTTAAGCGAACTTGAATCACTTCTTTAAAGATTCAGTTACTTCGATAAAGTTTTTCAATCTGCAAACATATTCCAGACTCTGCGGTTAAGAGGAAAGTTTTTTTAGAATAATGCAAAGGAATTTTTGTCTTAGAGGTGGTTGAAAAATGAAATTTTCTTAACATCATGATCAAACCGATTTGCGCTTGCAGTTTACCAAAGCTCTTACCAATACAATTGCGAGGCCCTTCACCAAAGGGTAGAAACGAAAATGCAGGATGTTTTTGCGGCATTGCAGCAGACGAAAAACGGTCTGGATTAAATTTTTCAGGTTCTTTAAAATATTCAGGATCGTTTTGTATAGCATCGATGGGTATAATTACACGCAATCCTTTTTCAAGGATGAGATCACTATTTGGCAAACGATAATCTTTCACACAAACTCGTGGCAGTAGAGGAGCAACCGGATATTTGCGCAGAGTTTCTAAAATGAAACGGTTAAAGGTTAAATATCTGAAGCTAATATATCCCATCAGAATTACCGTTGAAAACTTTTTCCATATAAGTCATTTCCTTTAAGCTCTCATAGGTTATCTGAGAGTTGTATTTTTCTAATACTGCCAAGATTTCTTCTCGTAGTTTCCTTTGAATATCCGGATTTAAAGCCAGTTCATATAAACAAAACGACATTGTTGCGGAAGAAGTATCCAATCCAGCCAAAAAGAAAACTATTGCCTGAGCACATGCTTGCTCAAAGGTTAAGCCACTGGACATATCATCTTCTTCTATGCGTTGGCCTTGTTTTACAAGTTTTTCCCTCTTCTCTATCAAGTCAATCAATAAATCCATAAAGTCATTACGTTTTGTTGGTTTTGCTTTCCTAAGCTTTATTGTTTCCTTCACTACTCCCATGAAAAAAGCAGTGGTACCTTTACCAAAAGCTTTCATTCTTAACCGGCGCGCCAAATCGGGATTAGTAAAAATGAGGCTTTGAATGAGCAAAGAATAGCGGGGACGCTCGAAAATGTTGCGGCTCATTTTACGAAATTTACACATGGGATCTTGTAGGCTATTGCACTCAATGCCAAATGCGCATTCTCCAATCACGTCGGTAGTGAAACGAGCACATAAATCTTTCACCTCAATTTGACCGGCTGCCTCATTGACGATAAATTCACATGCTTGCTCCAATCTTTCGGCTACATCAACGATTGTGGAAAACATGTGTTTCACTTTACCGCT